ATGCAGCAAAGAATCAAATATCAGATAGTTCAGCAACTTGAAAGTTTTTTTTTTTTTTTTGGAGCTCGCTATCTTGCTGGGGTTTCTAATCTTTCTGTCTTTATTTTCCCCATCGCCTGTTGCTATCAGCATGTTCATGGTGCTTACAGTAAAGAAAGTCATCTAGAAGCTATTCATCTGACATGTTGCAGGTGACTGATCCTCTGTGACATGTCAATGCATTCTGGGGGGCACCTGTAAGTCACTGCTTTCTGTTTTACTGTGATAGTCAAGTAATTTGTCATGCTGTTGTGGGATGCTCTTTTCCAGATGAATAAGCCCCACCCAGCTCCAAGCTGCTTTGTGAGCCTTTCATTAAGAGGAGAATATCAATAAGTTAAGGGGAATCTTCCAAATAATACATTATTTAAACCAAATGTAGACTTTACTCAAATGTACATAAACAAATCTACATAAACAAATGTAGATTTTATCCTCTAGCTTCTGCCTCTTGCTAAAAAGGATGTTGGATGGCAATCTTTAGACATCATCCCCCATTTTCCTTCCTCTCCTTTGCCTGCAGGGACCTGAAATTGGATAATCTCCTCTTAGATGCTGAAGGATTTGTGAAGATTGCAGATTTTGGATTGTGTAAGGAAGGTGAGTGACTTTAAAGCTAAAATTGAACCATCAGAACCAGTTTAGGATCTAGGCTTTAGTAATATGTTCACAAATACAGGTACTGAGGTGGTGGTGTGTAACTTGCATTCATCCCCATCTTAAAAATAAAAAAAAAAAAAAACACCAAAACCAAACCAAACCAATCCCCAACAAATCAAACAACAAAAAACCCTCACCTCTCTTGCCATAATGAACTTGGAAAGAGTACTTTGACCATAATCTTCAGGAAACTTATGGAAGAGTTTACAATGTGCTTCTCTGTTCAAAGGAGCCAGAATAGAAGATACTACAAAATGCATACTTGAGTCAATGAGCAGTGGAATCTGCAGGAAGTTTCCTTGGTTTTGCTGTTTATTTAAGCATTGTTTATTTCTTATTTGGAGTTGTTAGGGGCCTCAGGTTTCATACTTCCTTATTGGTACTTACAAGCATTGATGAGAATAGATTATCAAGTGATAAACTATGGCTTTTAGAAGGTGAGGCTGCATGCGATCCATTTAGTAATGTGTGCTGGATTTTACAAAAGTGTTCTCCTACAGGAATAGGTTTTGGAGACCGCACAAACACCTTCTGTGGCACACCTGAATTTCTGGCTCCGGAAGTCCTGACAGACGTCTCGTACACTCGGGCAGTAGACTGGTGGGGATTGGGGGTACTCATTTATGAGATGCTTGTTGGTGAGGTAAGGCCACCTTTCTGTAATTGGATCTTGATAAGCAGTCTTGAGGAGAGTAGTACCCAACCACCTGAGATAAAATTTTGCTGAATGTAGTCACCTATTTATTAGTACTTAAATTACATTTTTCTCATAGTGTTTGCCAAACACTAGTTAATCCATAGAAGTCCCTGCTGTTCTCATCCCTATTTAATAGTGAGGAATAGGTGCTATGTGGATTAAATAATAAAATGTCACAATTGCAGTCACCATTCCCTGGAGATGATGAGGAAGAAGTCTTTGACAGTATTGTCAATGATGAAGTTCGGTATCCACGATTCCTTTCATCTGAGGCACTTTCTATAATCCGTAAGGTAATGGGCTTGATGGGTCTCTGGGAGCATGAGGAATTTGTATTTACTGTGTAAGTAGATCAGAGGGACTCTATTAGAACCAGGTAGTGCTTGCGTGTGTAGTCTGGAGCTGCCTACACAGACTAAGGAAACATTTAAAATTATACCTATTTTTCATTTCTTTCTCTTTACATAAATGCTATTCTTCTGTCTAAAGAGGCTTCTTACTGAGGTCTCTCGCTGCTAATTCTGAATTGGAGACATGTTGATTCAAGGGCAGGAATGTCACAGTCAGTCAGTGGAGATGGCTTGATTCAGTTTTTGAATGGGACCCAGTAGTCACCGGTGCACAATTAAAATGAGATGCTTCGTGCAGCTTATAGCAGGCATCTTACTGATGTTGGCAAGCTGTTGACAAGGAGTTAGATTCTGAGCTATTACTAGCAGATTATGACCTTGCTGCAAAGTGAGAATGAGAAGATGCTGAGGGGTCAGTCCATCTCCTTTCTTTTGTTTTTCTCTCTGGAACATGATTTCTGTCCACCCTTTTTCCTGCTGTTTAACTTTGAACTGATATTTCATGCAGCTTCTTCAGAAATGTCCAGAGCGTAGACTGGGAGCAGGGGAAAAAGATGCAGAAGAGATTAAAATCCAGGCCTTTTTTAAGGTAGGAACTCACTTTATCCCTTCCCTTCATCTCTTGTGTTTGAGCTGAGAGTGATTTGCTTTCTGTTGGTATCGAGGCATATTTCCATTAGGTACCAGTGAGATCTCAGTGATAGCCTCTGTTGCTCCTCATTGCTCTATTCAGGAATATGTGTTTCAATTCATGTTTGAAATGACATCCCTCAAGTGTGTTTTCTGGGATCTGTAAGCTTCCAGAGCCAGTTTGTTATTTCTGATTGTGCTATTTCTATGTACAAACATACCTACCTTTTGAACCATCATCAAACACCCCTTTTTAAATCAAACTGCAGCAGTCAAAACTGCTGCCTGGTGATGACAGTAATTGCCAGTCAGTTTATTCGATGTCACCTGCATTTGCAGGATATACATGAATCCTAAGAGAAATTGAGGTTAAAGAAACATTTGTTTTGGGTCAGGGGTAAGTGTCTGTTGCAGACAAAGGTGTTACCATTCCTCCTTGTCATTACCCATCTGCCTTATAGCCTCTGGCTGGCTCTGCACTGGAGTAAGAAAATAACTTGGATGTCAGCAGAAATTGCTGGGAAGTCCACAGATCCACCGGTCCACAGCTGCACTTTAGTTTTGTCCCTCCTAAGCGTAGTCTGAGCTGTAGCTTTGTTTCTTGGTGTCCTGAAGAAAAGCCTTTAGGCTGTATGGAATCTCTGTACTATCTAGCTTGCACCATTTGCACCAACTATGCTGGGTTTTTTGGGCCTTTTTTCAATTCTTTTTTTTTTTTTTTTGGATACTAGAAATAAGACGTTGCAAATGATCTCAAAGGGAGACTGCATTCCTCACTTACTTTCACAATTCATAAATAATCTTAACGTCAATCTGGCCTGTTCACGTCCCTCTCTTACAGGAAATTGATTGGGATGCCTTGTTTGCCAGGACCCTGAAGCCCCCTTTTGTGCCCACTCTAAGAGATCCAACGGACATTAGCAACTTTGATGAAGAGTTTACATCACAAAAGCCAATCCTTACTCCTCCAGAGGAGGTTGGTCTCCTAACCCGTAAGGAGCAGACTGTTTTCAAGGACTTTGACTTTGTCTCTAGACACCTTTTAGGTGTTTGATTCCTGTGCTATAAGAAACATGAACAGATTGTTACCACCTTGAGAGAATGTAGAAAGGACTTGGCATGTGCAATGGAAAAGTCAACAGAATTCATAGAACTGGTAGTGCTGATGACCCCAGGATGAGAGTGCCCTGCAAGCTGAATTAACCTACTGTGGTTTTTTCAGCATCATTTGTTGGAGGGATACTGGATGTCAGTTATCTTCGAGTAGTTAATGTTTGACTGGATGTATCTGCTGTTGCCATTGAATATAGATGGTAATTTGCAATTTAAGATGGACTTAATTTAATGAAAACAAATCATGTCTGCAACCCAGGTTACTCTTTGCAAAAAGCCCAAGTAAGCAGCACGGCTTTTTAAAGTTGTATAGTAGCAGGGGGAATGGCCACTTGTCACTTATTTTCTAGAAAAGACATGCAGTGTTCCCTCTTTGTAATGATTTTATGCCCATTTCCACTCATAACTGTGTGTATGCCAGAGAAGGAATGGATTTTAACACAACCAAGACAATGATGTTTGGGTTTGATAATGATCCACTGATCTATCCTAAGGAAAATGAGTCTCTTCTACTTTGAGGATGCTAAATCTTAGCTCTTGTTTTTAATGATATAAAAAAGCCACAGCTTTGCATATGCTATTTTTTTTTAAATAAAGATACCTTTCCTTATAATGAAATTTCAGCTTTTCATCTCCTTCGTGTTAGCAAAATGTTTCAGATAAGGACTAACCATATTATGCTCAACAGGCAAGATTTTATTTTTCTCTGTAAATGTCAATAGAAATATTTTCTTCCTTCTCACTTGAGTGGTCTGTGTACGTATTGCATGGTGTCATCAGCTGTCACATACAAATGACTGCAGTCAGGTTGTCTCTCCACAGATTTTGTCAATGTGTATATCCTGTATCTTTTGGGATAGCTAAATAATGACAATGTTAATATTGGAAAACTGGTAAGTTAAAGGTGATTTCATTTGCATGGTAACTTATCTTGTAATTATACTTGATAAGATATATTTTCTTCTCGTAGATTCATGTTAGCTTGTTGTGCAAAAAAAGGAAGGGTGTCTAGAAATGAAACATCACACTGATGACAAGTAGGGATGCACAGCTACTACCTTTTCAGTTTGTCTTCAGCAGAGGTAGACAGAAGTTGAACTAAAGCAACTCTGCTCTATCTGGAGATGAGATTCAGGTGCAGCTAGTGAGTCATCATTATTAAATCAAGGCTGGTCCAAGTGCTTCAGGATTCAGAGAGGTAAGAGCTGTTTGTGCAAAACAGAAATTCTTCACGTGGCACCTAGATTTCCTATTTTCAAAGGTAAGTATAACTGCTTGTGTAAATTCCTGTGTACAAATATTCTTTCAACCTCCTCTGCCTTCCAGTGTAATGGTCCATTTAATGCAGGACATACATTTTCCTCACTCTTGTTTGAATAGTGATGTTGGCCCCTACAGTCTGTTTTGTGACTTTTCTTAAGGTCAAGGCCTCTGTAAAATGGTAAGTAGCACAGTGGATTGTTAGCACAGGTGAAACCTAGAACTTGGGTTCAAAGAGAGAGGCATAAAGAACCAAAAAAGGCATATTTAATCTTTTAATTTATAGTTTATAATAGAATGAAAACAACTGTAAATTACCATCCTGGTGCATTTTAAAAAGAATTACCAAACAGAACAAGACTGTGTACCTGCTGACAAATTTTTGACTGATACCTGAAAAAACAGTAATTGCTATGTGCCAGATGAGCCATGCTTCAGCAGGCACCACACTAACTGCAGAATCCTTTCTGGATGGCATAAGATTGTTACAAAACCAATTCTTAGTGTTCTGATACCCTTCTGATAGGAGTTTCTACCCTGAACAAACCAGACCACACTGATTACAAACGCTGGAGTTGGTCAAAAGAGGGATCCTTCCGCTGTTTTTAAACTGCTTTTAGACTGTCGTGCTGTATTAGTGGCTACACTGCCCCTTCAGGAGTGCTCATCAACTTTAAACCCTGAGTGCATCCTACCAGCTTGTCAGACGTGCTCTTGAGCTGGTGTGATTTCCTGAGCCAAGGCAATTACAGCACAAAATATTTTTAACTAAGGTTTTGTTGTGGTGCTGTTTTTTTTTTAAACAGAAAAGTGTCAGGACTAGAATTCCCATGACAAGGAAGCTTGCTGCTATCCTAGAAAGCTATCAGCACCTCCTCATCTCAATTAAACAAACAGGACCTAGAATCTTTCCTCTGGCATTGAAACTCTGTATTCTTTTATTAAAATTTTACTAGTGTGTTGAGGTAGTAGTATTACTAACAGTGTTACTTTTGAGCTAGGCAAGAAGTACCCACCTATGCTACTGGTTCTCACAAGCTACAGGAAAAGCCTGAGCATGAAGTTATCTGCAGAATTAATTCAGTATTACTTTTCTGTCCAAAGAAAAGTCGATGGTGTAATTCTTTGCTGACTTGATTCAAAATAGTTTGTGAATTGTTAACAGCACCATCAGCTTAAAGAAAAAACTGTTAGGAAGCTGGTCACAGCATCATAAAATCCAGACTAATTATCTCATAAGCTGAATTCGGTGCCTTACAGCTGTTTCTCATGCACATTAACACTTTTAAGCCTCAAATCTTCATGAAAAGCATTAAGTTGGGGCATATGGTCAAAATGAAATTTGCTTTTGACTGTCCAAATATTTACTCAAATATTTCTATTACGTGCCCAACACTACTGACAAAAGGCACTGCGGTTCTCACAGTGAGAACTATGTTGGAAAAAGGCCACAGGAATTATATTGATTCTGGCTGGTTTTGTCTGTAATAGCTGCTGTTCCCTAGCAGCAAAATGAGAGGGAAGCTTTGGGGAAAGAGAACTGAATGCTACTCCTGCATCTCTTCTGGAGAGATGTGGATGCAGTTATCAAAAGGAAGTAAATTTAGAGATACCTTTGCTCAGTCCAGAAATCGGCTCTGCTGGCTGTCCCAGAACCAGTGTCTTGCCTTTAACAGTGTTACTTGTATATAAAAAAGCAACTCTGACTATCCTTGAAGTGTAATTTGCAGGACGAACACGTTGTGGAACAGGTTGCGTAGTTCATGATGCACTAAAGTTCGGTGCAAGGAAACGGCAGCAATTGCATTAGCAAAGATTTATCCAGCAACCTGCAGCTGTGTTGGCACTCTGTCAGGTAGGTACTACTGTGACTAGACAGGCTCATTGTTCCTGTGAAAGTAGATTTTCTCCCATGTAGTGAGGTGGCATGAACAGAAGAATCTCCAGAGGTTGAGGATTATCCCTTGGTCAAAGGGATTCTCCAACTCGGAGTGTCGCAGGTAAGCGATGCGATGATGTGACATGAATTCCCAGGTGGTAGTGTTGCATGAGATCAGATAGAGGTGTGAAATAAGCAGTAACAAAACAACAATGGTGAATATGACTATCATGAGGAAGGACATGAGGAGGAGAATGTTGTGCTGCAGCCAGTCCCAGGACTGTTCAAAGTAGAGGCCTGACCTTTCGATTCAAAGAGAAATACATTTACAGTTAAAGACATAGAACTAGTTACATAAACCAAGCAAACTTGATAGCACATTTAAGTTTGATTTGTAATTAGTGAGCTGATGATAATTCTTACTACAGAGAGTCAGTATACTATATACTCATAAAAGACTGCACCAGTAGTGATTTAGGTTCTAAGAAGTTTAAAAGATGCCTAGTTCCAGACAGCTGAGAGACAATCATTTTCAGTTAACTCCTCTCCTGAGCAGACGTACAGGTAAAACCCTGCTGAAGTTTCCAGGACTTTGATTTGTAAACAAAGATTCTGTTACAGTAACTGAAGCAAAATCAGTTAGCTTCTGTACTGTTGTTAATTCTGTTAATTTAATCTTAAAACAAAGATAAGCAATGAAACACAAACTATCAGATTCTCTTCCACTACTGATAAGCTATGTTGTCCCTCAGCAGATTAGGGGGCTCAGAAGAGCTCATCTCCAGAATGCAAAAGGGGGTGAAGATGCAAAACCAATCCATCACTTCAGTGTTTTACATGAACCCTTCAGTGGGGCTTTAGGAGCACCAAAACTTTCAGCCGTCAAACCACTGACTCCAGGCCTTACCAAGCAACATGAGCTCCCCACAGCAGAACTACAAGCTGCACGCTCAAGTAGACTATGAAGAGGGGGTGATTCTTCTCTCCTACGCAGTTCTCCATCCAGGGACAGTGATGGTCATAACGCCGTACACAGTGTTGGCACAGCTGGCAGTGCTTGGCTCGCATGGGCTGCTGCAAAACAAAACCAAACACACACTAGCAATAGCCCACTGGTTAGGCTCCCTGTTTGGTAGAGGAGAACATCATGCAAGTATCGTCTTCCTCAACAGTAGAACTGTCCCAAAACCACTCAATTTTGAGGTAACAGCACAACATAAACATTGCTAAGACAATGTATTTATAAAGGAAATCATGATTTCCACTGGGACAGATACAAATGAGTAAGATTCAAATGAAACGACTCTTCCACACTACTATCTATACATTTTCTTTATTATCTACCTATTTATAGGAAGTTCAGTGTGCAAAGAAGGGAGATAGGGCCAGTCTGTTCTATTCAAGAAAGCACAAGCAGAGTGTTGAGGTGAAAAACTAGGACCACAGCTATTGCAGGGGTGGGATGTCTTTTATACACTGCATAGCGGTGGGAAGTGTCTCTACTCTGTGTGAATATGAGACACTTGCTCAGGAAAGCAGCTCAAGTACCAGGAATAGAAAAGATGAAAGATCTGGCTGAGGAATGTAGCAGGAGTGTGTCTCTTAGGATTTGTTCCTTGAAGCGTATATGTGTTTTGCCAGCTTCTCCTCTTGCAATGAGCTAGCTTCTTCTGGTAGATATTATTCAAGAATTTATGGAAGCTGGGATAATGCATGGTTTTATTAAACTGGTAAGGATCTCTCTGAAAATGGGCACTTCTAGGCTTTAGGCAAACTGTTTTAAGAGCAAATTTAATTGCTCTAATTTTTCCTTCATGCTATCTTTTAAACTCAGGCTAATGTTTTTGTTGGTTTTAGGCCTCCAAACAAGCTCACAGCTACCGGCAGTTCTTATATGTCATGCTCAACTGCTTTCCTGACTTTCTATCAAGATACCTTCAAAATAACCTTTTTGACACTACTGTAAGGTCTGTCTGATATGGCAGGAAGAATGTAGAATACAACTTTCCCATGGCCAAAGATCCTTGTTTCTGTGACTTGTTTCAGCCTTGGTAAAACATGCCAATGTCCATCACTACTACAACTTTAGCTACACAATTCATTTGGATCACTTTTCAATTCAGGACAGTATCTGAATTCAATTTGCTAGTATTTTCTTTTTCTGTGAGTTTTCATCAGGAGGGGGACCCTATGACAGAATTAATCAGATCTGCTGTGCCTCCAAACCACTAAACAGTGAGCAGATGATAGAGCAGAACAAACACCAGCAACAGCAGCTGAACAAAGATGTTGCCAAAAAATGTAAGCTTGCAAATTGCTCATCCCATTCTCTCTAGTGTGTTATAAATGCCTACCTTCACCATGCAGTAACCACAACGCCGCATCTTAATATTACTTGGAACTTGAGGTATTGCCATGCTTTGTTCTTCACTCTTGTCTGCCTACAAAAAGTAAGAGAAAAGGAGCGACTAAGGAGGTTTTGTGTGCTGCTGTCTTGGCGTGACTGAACTGTCTGGATCCTTTTACTTAACAGCTACACAGTGCTGGTTATTGCTATCATTAGGAAGGTTAAACAAAGTAATTTCTTAGAATTCCTACAGAAGCTGCAGACAGTTCAGCAGGGGAGAACAGGCTCCTGTACCCATAGAAAGAACGCTTGCAGAGAGGTGGAAATAATTGTAAGCAAGATACCACACCACTCTCAACACTACACTTTGGGACAAAAATAAACAAGGTTAGAATTTACTTCCAAACACAGTAATGATGTCTTTTCAGTATAAGCAGTGCTACTTATTTATAACACAGCCAACATTTACATTAATGATGGATGATTCAAATTGATAATGCTTTTGTCCCATACGATCTGTAAGGCAGTGAACCTAGAGCAGACTATCTCTCAGTTACTGAAATTTTGCATCTCCATTTACTTCACTCTAACTTGTTTGTGTACATACTGTCTGAGAGGGCAACAAATTTATAAACAGTTTGATAAATACAGTTACAGAGAGCTCTTTCTTCCAAGCTGGCCCTTCAATTTGCATTTGTACCACTTCACTGTCATTAGCATAAAATATGTCATGTATACATTCCATAACGTACTGCAGCTTCTGATGCAAGAGAGGATTTATGCTCAAATGGCTCACTGCACTTACAACAGGAGTGTAGTGTAAAAGACACACTTAAAATCTGTGAAGCCTATTGCAGCTACAGAATATGGAGACTGTGGTCTAATCTCCACTGGTCTCTGTGTGTTTCCTTTAGGCCAAGTGCAACAGAAACTGTTTCGGATTGTTCTTACCCAGCAGAGTGGGAAAAAGAAAAAAAGCCTATAGATTTTATAGCCTCACCACTTTCTTCCATTCATTAAGTGATATACCTCCACTTCCTCCTCAGACTTAACAAAACCCGGATCCATGAGAGACACCTTAAAGTACAGCAGAACAGAGCACAAAACCAGTAAGACGAAGATCAGTGGCTGCAGCAGGTCGCCGCGCTCCTCTTGCTTCTGCAGATCTGAAAGGTATCCCCCCCCCCCGCAAACAAAAGGAAAGAGAGCAGTAGTTCTTTGTGAGGCGGTTGGGATTTTTCTCGCGCGCCTTAACAAAGCGGTCTCGCACCTACGGGGAAGGGATGGGGGGAAAAAGCGGGGATAAACCCCCTAAGGCCGAACCACCCCCGCGCCCCCCCGCCGAGGCGGCCGCCGCCTCCCCTCAGGGCCGGCCCCCCCCCCCCGGGGCGGGCAGCCCCCCGCGGCCGGGGCTGAGGGAGGGGCGCGGCGGCCCCGCCTCACCTGTGCGGTGCAGGAAGAGCCCCAGCGTCAGCCCGCCGCTGAGGGCCGTGTGTGCCGCCCTCACCCACGGCCCGCCGGCCCCCATGGCGCCCGCCGGCCCGGAAGGGCGGGCAACGCGCGAGGGAGGGGCCTGGCCTGGCCGGTTGGGCCCGGCGGGAGCGGGGGCCGTTCTCTTCCTCAGCGCGGCCCCGGGATTTTCCCCGAGGGGGCCGGCGCCCCCGGCTCGGCTACCCCCCGAGTGGGAACCGGGGTCTCTTTCCTCCCCCGACTTGCAGCAGCCCGCCGGTCTCCTTTCTTCCCTTCGCACTGCCTGCCTCTGTTTTAGCCTGCATGCTGGCCCTCCACCTCGGGGGCCTTTCCCAGGAGAAAGGTGCTTTCCTTCAGCCCACCTTCCCGCTTCACCCTCCCGGGCTCTGCACAGCCCCTCGGCCGTAAGCTGGGTTGCATTTCAGCAGGTATTGTGGGGAACGCAACACTGAGGCCCTTAAGGGCAGCGTTGCTGGTAAAACTCTCTACACCTGAGGTAAATACTGCTAAATGTACATAGGAGCCGTAGAAGGGGTCTCACAGAGGTGTGCGCTTCAAGACCGAGTGCTCAAGGTGCTGTCTGGGTGAGATGCACCATGGTGCGTTAACTCTGGTCTCACCAATTTGATTATTTCATATGTGGCTTTCCGCCCCCCCTAGAGAAATACAGAGGCTGTGCCTGGCTGAACGCGTTTAGACAGCCCTAGTAATGCAAAGGGAGCTTGTAAAGTGTCTGTCTGACTTAACTTTGGCAGGCTGCCGGGTGGGATTTGATCTAACTTTGGATGTCGGCTGTGAAGGCATTCGTGTCTTTGCACGGTCGTTAGACTCCCCCGACAGCAGCAGAGGGAAGCAGGCATGTCTAGAGAATGGTCTTTGTCATCTGAAAGCAGACGTTTAGAAGTAGTTGCATTGCACCCTAGATGTGTTTCTATCTCTTGCTAACAATAAAAAAAGCCAAGACAGCAAGCTTAGATGTGCACATTTACACATGGAGTGTCTGTCTTTTTAGGGGAAATGAATCTCATTATAGGCCTGTAAAAGTTCTGAAATCAGTGTCTTCTCATTACACTCTTTGCCGTTTTAACATAGATGTGTCCTGCTGCTTTTGTCACCTTCTTTCCCAGTAAAAATTTGGAAAGAAAAATCACATTCTTTGCAAGTTAGTCCTCCAGCACCTGAAAAGTAGCCGATTCCTCAGTATTGTTTGACCAGAAATGGAGGGTTATTATTTTAGTCTCTTTAAGTGAGTCAGTGGCCACCTGCTGATCCAGGAAAGCACCTGGCTGCACAGGTCACTTAAATGGTTTACCTGAGGCAGCTGTGTAGAAATGTTAATAAAAATGGTAGTCTAAGTTTCCAATAATCATTCAAATCCTTTTATTTCTTTTTATCCTAGGTAAATGCAAGACCTACAGAAATCCTCCCTCTTATACCTCATAGTTTGCATCAGTGCTTGTCAAATCTCATGTACAGAGTTTGTATGTGAGATGGCCCTGCTATTCTCTGCCTGTTTTAAATATCCTGAAAATCTTTCTGTTTCTTGAGTTGCAAAGAAAGCCGCTCAGAACAGTAACATCAGGCTCTGCCTAAAAACATAAAGAAAAGGTGGGTATTGTCTTTTAATTCTTTGCAGAGAGGTGTAAATGTTAAAACTTAATGAAGGCCATTTGAGTAGTAACAATATTACCCACTTGAAAGTAGAAACATTTTGATATTCTAGAATAATGTTTTATTGAATGTATTCTCTCTCTCTTTGTGATTAATTTGGTGCATGTTACACTTTTTATCTTTTCTTACAGCTTTGAAACCTGTCTTACAGAGATCAGTGTTTATCTCTGTCTCAAGGGTTTCGACCTAAATGACTGGTTGAAACAAGGCTTAGTTCCAGAAAGTCTCTACTACCAAGTTTCTGAGCAGATAATCTAGATTCTTACAGCATTTCAGCTAGGAATTTCATGCTGCTGGAAGCTTAAGGTATCTGTCTGTACTCTTACAATATGGTACATTTTCAGCTTCCTAGATGAAGTTCAGCCTCACATGATTCCTCCTCCTACTTCAGCCACCTGGAGTCTGATCCTTTAGGGAGTTTACAGTGACCAGTGCATTACAGTGAATTAACTGGCAGCTGAACCCTTGCAGGACCAAGGTCTTAAGAAGAAAGTCACGCTGGCCTTAAAGCAGATTGACTGTTCTAAGCTAGAGTCTTTTCTTCAGTACTCAGTTTCTGCCCACTTACAAAGCTTAGGCTGTGGAATGCAAGAACCAGATCCGTTACAGAGTTCAGAGGCGATCTGTACAGTCAAATATTGTTCCGATTTTTTTTTCTCCTCTCACATAATTTCATAACAATATGCTCTTCCTCCACGCCTCTTCTTCTATTGACAAACGCTATTGTATCCCTTGGAGTGATGAAAGGAAAAGCCACTGAACTGCATCATCAACACATGGCAGTTCCTTTCATTTTGCATGAAATATATGACAGCAAATGGACTAGTAATGCACCTAAATAAACCACATTCATAGACCAAAGGAAGAAGACATTGTTAAGCACTAGGTTTAATACACAGTGGGTATCCAATGGATACAACAGAAAAGTTAATTCATTCAGAATTGTAAGGAAGCAACAGTTGTGCATTATTATTTTTTTGCTTGGTTTTACCATGTACAAACATTTGAACCAGGCCTCTCAACATTGGGCAGGTCAATGGACAGAGTAAAAGCAGACACTTGCTCATTATAACTGAGGTTATTTTTGTTAAGCAAAACAAGAAAATACATATTTGGTTAGCTTAAAAACTTTTTTTAAATGAGAAAAAAATTACAGAGAGAATGAGTGACAATTATATGAAATCAAAATATAGTCTGCTAAAGCAGAAGTGTTTCAGTTCAGCAGGAAATCTTTCTCATTCCTTTTTTTAAGCGCTGTCTTCTTATCTAGCGCTCATGTTGTTTTCATCCATTCCTGACCACCATTACCTTCTGTGCTTCATACACATGGCTGTCGTGGACACCAGCTGTTTCCCTACTTTTAATTCTCTTTTTCCAGCGCAAGCTACCCTCTAACACCTGAGCTGTGGCACGCTCCTCCCTAAACAGTCTCAAGAAAACCTTTTTTCTGTGTAGTGCCTGAATGCAGAGCCCCTATAGCTCTTGCTCTACTGGTAATTAATTGCCTTCTTCAAGTGATGGGAGGGGAATACGCTTACAGCTCCAGGACTTTTCTTCCCACTCATTTTGTGCAGAGACCAGAGTGACTGCAGCAGAAGCCCAACCAAGGTGATGAGCTGGGTAGGATTCAGTGCTGAACAGACAATAATTTCAGCTGGTAGGTAGGTGCAGGGTAACAGCAGCCATCATGCAGATGGGGCAGATGAATTACCTGCAATGTTACTAATTGCCACAAATATCAGTGCTAAATTTTCTTGACTTGATCTAGATGAGAAAGTTTGGTGTTGCTGGATGTTAAGCATCATACAAGTAGATGCCAATCTGTATACGCAATTCCTCCCACAGATCTTGTAAAATGGAAGCACTTGTGGAAAGTTGCCCACCAATTTGCTCTCATCTATTCCAGAGAAAATGGCAGACACCTGACACCCTGCACGCTGAGGATTGCTGTATCATTGACTTGGGCCACTGAGTGATGAGGCAATCTCCAGCCAGGAAGGAAACTATGTGCAGTCAAGGTAGAGGGTGCCTTTGTTGGCACAGTCTCTGCAGGGAACTACCGAGTTGTGTTTGAGCTCTGCTTGCCAAGCTTTTGAATATTAAAGGAAACATAGTAGTGAAAACATGAATAAGAGTCTGAATGGGACAACAGCTACTGAGCACAAGGAGCCCCTCTGCCCTGTCTTTACATGCTATGAACTTCTCTCCAGCTGGATTTTCATTTCACAGATAGAACCCTGTTCTAGTTTTCTGGGCAGGGTTAGTCATTGGCTCTGTAATACTGTGTGGAGTTGAAGTCTCTTGGTTCATTGCTTTGCTCCAGCAAAGCTGGAAGGCCTAAAATGCTTCTCTGTAACAATCAAGGATTTCAGGGTATCCAATTTTCCCTTTTACATTAGACCTTCATAAAAAATCAGCCACTTTGCCCTCCCCTCCTTTGCAGAATATTGGTACGATGACTGCAGACAACTGTCCTGTTCTGACCTGAGCATTGGCTCTATGGCAGCAATTTGTTAACTCTGCCTCAAAAAAGCGCTTACAGGTCATCATACGTGCACTATGACTAGGGTGCAACAACTCCTGTTGTTTCAGTTAGGGAAACCAAGGTACAGCCTAGTTTCAAACTCCTGATTACAGGAATTCCTGGATTACGTTCAGGCATTGAGAGGATATCTTTCTCTCTTTTGTTCCTTACAGGAAGCAAATGTTATTTTTCAGCTCACAAAGTTTGTTGGCTTGAAGACACTGAAGCTTGTAGCCAAAGCTCGTGTTACTCTAACAGGGATGCTCTTTTAAAATGCTATTTCGGGAATTTACCTTGCTGGTGGCCTGACTCAATCTTATATGTAGCTGGCTGTAACAGACCAGTTTTAGTTCTCCTTTCCCCCTGGAATCAGTGACAGATTTCAGAAAGCTAAGCTTTTATGGCAGGCTGGCCTGACTCCATTAATCTCCATGTTGCTGGGAATTTGAAGTATTTTTATCCTGCTTCAGGCTCAGGTACAGCTTAATGAGGATATGTGAGCAGTGAGGATAGAGGTTACCTTTACAGTGTGAAACAAAGGTTTGATGCAGCTTGGATCTTGTTAGGTTGGGATACCAGCGTCTAGTTTGCAGCAAGTGAGAGTTCCGCAACAGCTGAACTTAGAGGCACTGGTTTGAAAAACCCAAACCTTTGGGGTCTTGTGTGAGATGGAACCAAGCCATCGGTTGTTCATTAACCTTGATGGAGTTGTGCCAAAATCTCAGTGTAAAGCCCGATTCTTTGGCTCTGATTACAATGCAAGGCTGAGGTCTGCTCTAGCTGACATGGGTGTTCCCGAGCTCCAGCTGTGTCCCCAACATGGGGACATGGGTTTCTGCTACATCTCGCATCTGTGATGTGTCCCCTTCTGCTCTGCTCCCACCTTGCCAGCACAGTCAGAATCTGGAGTGCTCCCTGTCACATATGCCAAGATTTTAGCGGTAGGAGCTTTCACTATATGGGCATTAGAAAGGAAGAAAGCCTAATGGGTGGCACTGCCACGTGAAACAACTTCAAAAGGACAGCAGCACTAAGTGGAGGATTAAATGAGCAAAGCCTGACTCCTCTAATGCACCAAGGCTGATTGGCAGTATTTGCAGCCTTCCTTAGTTTTGCATCTAAAAGGAAGATTAGCAAATGTTATACAGAAAACAGATCTTGAAATAAGCTTTTCTGTCTCAAAGCTCATAGGGACACAAATTCTTGGGGAACAGGAATCAGAGAGAGAAAAATACATTTCAATCCAACAACTGCAAAAAAGTATAATTCATCAAGTTTTGCAAACCATATGAAAACAATTCAAAAGTGACACAAAAATATATATAAGTTTGAAAAATACTTAAAAGAAAAAAGTACAGATCTCACAATATCAAAACAAATGACGTATGGTTAAAAAGGAAAAAATAAAGACATTGAATAACACCATATTGGCAGAAAAAGTAAACCTCTCCAGGGCAGCTGTGTTGTCATTTAAAGTGTCAGTTTGTGTATCTAGGATCTGTCTATAATGTGCTCAGCAATGACAGCATTAACTCTGAGCATTAGAAGAACCTCATAGCAGCGAGTCAAATCTGAGAGCAATGTATACAAGGGAAGAGAGCAGCAAGGGTTACTGTGCTCAGAGGCCTGAAATGTCCCAACTCACACGGCCGTGGTCTTCTCTTACTGCTACCAGACATAAAATCTTTTCTAAGTCCCTTCTAAGGGAAGATTTGTGAATTGTGAAGGAACTGTGGCAAGCAGAGGGCTCTAAGCATGGACAGCCCAGTGTGGTGCTGAGCGCCTGGCTGTGAGGCAAACCTTGGCCTTTGGCTTCTTGAGCCTTTACAGGTCTGGAGTCTTACGGGTGAAGACCACCTTAGCGGGACTGTCCTCTCACCCACATCATGTAAGTTGGAGTAATGTTGCTGATGCGAGCGGGACCGCACTGGTAAGTGCTAGTGGGAGTCAGAGAAGAATAGGGCTTCTGCTTCCCAGAAGAGGGGGAAGATGTTGGGGTGGAGCAAGAGGTGCTATTTCATGGGATCGTCCTCCAGAGGGTGCCTGGAGGCTGCCCAGTCTCCAGAGAGGACTCCAGCACCTCCAGTTACAGTATCTGTGCTGCAGTGAGTTTCCTATAAAAGGAGATTACTTTGCCACTGAGCATGGCTTGCACTGATGCAGCCTGAAAAAAGAGCAGAAGGGCTCCAGTCCATTACTGGGACTTGCACAAGTGGTACAAGCCACTCTGGACTGGGGCCTAGGAGAGCTTGTTATGCAGGGGGGAAATACGCTCTCTGGCCTTTGTAGCCCTTCCCGTAAAACAGAACACAACTAAAAAGGTGGTGAAGGACTGGAATAAAGGTGTGTAGCCCTTTGCGAATAAACCTTTTTCCTTGTTGCACAGGCTCCCTTAGAGAGAAAAGCTCTGTGTTGCCAAGGATGTGTAACTGGTTTTACTGGTCACCCACCCGAGGCTGGGTGGGCTGGCAAATCCTACTGTACCGCCAAAGGGGACAAAACAGACCTCTTGACTTCAGTGGGAATGTTTTACTTCCAAATGACCCACATACAGTTAGCAATGCTTCCATTAATGTGAGTCTTCTACAAAAACCCCTTAAGGGATTGAATTGACTTAAAAGATCTTTCTTCTCCATTTCTTCCATTTACAGATATCACTAAAAAGGTCAGTCCGTTTGGTCTAACTCTCTGGTATTGTGTCTCCCAACCTCTCTAACCAAATAAATAACTCGTCACTGCCTGTAACCCCATTGAGTAGTCAATACTGATTCAGGACTGGTGTTCTTGCAGGCATTACAGGACCTCATGCAATACAGCAAAAGGGAATTTTCTAAAAAGTGGGAAATAAAAATGTCACACTAGCGATCACACAACTAGGTCTTCAAGCTCATGATCATTTGAGGCTCTCTGTGTGGTCTAAAATAAAAAGGTTAAAAGATACATAATGTAGTTGTCTTTGTTTTTGTTTTCTTTTTTATACAGAAATCATACACACAGAACTTCAACCTGAAACTTCATAACAAAAAAGTCCACTAATTTAAGGAAAGCATTTTGTTGTGCAAAAAGTCCCTCCCGCCCCCCCCCCCCCCCGTTCACCTTCATCTACTGAGGGTCTCACACACACACATGAAGTTTCCTTCCAACAGGCGAGTTGGTAAGAAAGAGTCCTCCCTATATACAGTGAATTAGAGAGAAGCTGGATACAGTGCTGGCAAGAGGCATTAGCTGATTGCCTCTATCTGGAAGTGTCCATGTTCTCCTCCTTAAAGTTACTGCAGTGCTCTATAACTTTCCTATGGATAAAACAAGGACAAGGAGAGAGAATTTAGTTTAAAGCTTATTGCACGACAGTTGTGGGACAGTGACATAAGAACTGTCCAACAGCTTGGTCTCTATGTAAATGTATACTGTTTGCAGCAGGCAGTCTCTTCGGAGAGAGGCATCAGCTGGTATTTGTGTCAAAACCAGTACACTCCACAAAAGCAGCTCAGAGCTCACAGTTCATCCTCGTGGGATTTCAAGCCATGTTAGTGTACATCCTGATCCATCCGTGACCGTTCATTCATCACCCCCATATCCAAATTGTCAGATAACTTTGAATCACAGCAGGAAACATGTGCATATGGGTGTTTGTCATCTTCTCTGCCTTTCTCCCTCCCTGCTTTTCCTGTCCTTTTCAGTTACCGTTCCTGCACAGTCCCATCACCATACACAACCTGCCTAACTGCGAGCCTTCTGCTGGCCTCGGCCAGCTCCGGCATGGAGCAACCCCTCAGCCACGGGGAATGCCTGCTGCCCACCCACAAGCTACGTATTTCCAGCTGATCTCTACCTCTCCTTTACATTAGTCCTGCAGGTGTGAGATGATAGCTCTCAGTCTGGCAATGATTAGAAAGTGCAGCTGGCTTTTAAAACCCTGCAAGAATGACTCCAGAGGGAGGTCACATAACAAAGGTGGGGAAGCTCACGAAGCTGATGGACCCTCGCCATGACAGTGTCTCATTTTAACTATGCAGTCAGCAACTTAATTGACAGGCCAGTATGATTCTGGAGACAGGGAACCCACTAGTATGGAGAACAGTGAGGACTGGAGACCATTGGCATAAGAGCTGCAATTAGCCACGTAGCTGCCCTGTCCAAGAAGCCAATTTGCCTGGGATCCATCAACCCTGAATGATCCGTGTGGCTTGCCTACCTATAAGCACCTCTCTAGTCTTCTGTTTTCATCCTCTTTTTCCTGCTCTTCCCTTGTGTTCACTTCCTACCCCTTGTACACATCAGTATAGGCCTTTCTTCAGTAGCCTTACTTGAGGTAGAAGAAAAAAAAAACTAAACTAAAGCTAAACTGACTGTTTGACAATAGTGCAATGGTTTCCTACCGGGCCATTTCCTTGGTCTCTTGCCGTGCTGAGGCCATTTTAATCATGTCCTTCAGAAGGGGAATCCCACCTTCTTTGATCAGCAGTGGACAGTACTTGTCAGCTGTGGAGAAAAGAATAAAACAGGTCCTTGTGAACCTTCACAGGAGTGGTATAAAGGGTGGCAGGAGGGGAAAGAGAAGCCCGTGGCCTGAGAAGTGACAATACTTTTCTTTTTTTATGGAGCCAGTCTGCTAGGGGTGTCCTGGCTATGAAAACACAGCCACAAAATGGCTGAGAACATAAAATCACGGCCCGAAGGATCAAAACATTGAAGGTATTTCCTATGTACTACATCTCATTGTTTTTTATTTGGCTGTGCTGCCTGGACATTCCTGCATCATTTAAAGAAAGTTCTCCCTGCCTACATAGCTAAGCTGGGAAGACTTTTTCAACTAACAAGCTCAGCCCCACACCCTCAACTTTTACAGTGCAGTGGATGTGATTCTGAAAAGGGAACTTACGGTAGACAGAGACCAGGTTATACAGTGCCCAGGTAGCCCAGTGCTGGCTGACTGGGGAGATCCCTTGTGGAAGAAGTCGAAGGATTGGTTCAAATGACCTGCACAGAAATATCGCAGAAGTTGTTAAAAATCCAAGAACTGCTTCTTTCAGCACCTTTGCCGCTCAAAGCAACGTGAACTGTGCTCACAGACACCACAGCAGTAAATCCACTGGCATGTCAGACTCTGTCAGCAAAGACTAAGTCTGTGTCACACGGCAATACTGGCAGGCTTACAGGCCTTACCACTAGCAGAAACGTGCTGCCCAGATAAACAGCTGCACTGAATGCAACTGAGTCCAAGAACTGATTTCCATCCTCTGTCAGTGATTTCCTCACGACAGCTGAAATCCAGCAGCACTGCTCTATTTGTAGAGGGGCAAAAGCAAAATTATACGCAGCCAGAGCTGGCTGCTCACATGCAGTGGTTGCTGTGTTTCTTCTGACAACAGTAATGTGTCTATACTGTAGCTCGGGCATTGGAATGCCATTTGTTTTGGATGCCTGTCAGGCACTATGGGAATACAGAGTACCTGATACCCTCTTACAGGAAGGGCTTTGGAGGATTCCACCAGTTGTGTTAACCCTTGAAGGGATTTCCGAGAACTATGTCTAAATATCCCCCAAAGAACGAAAGCTCCAGCAATCCATGTGACTTTCAGAAGCAAACAGACTTAAGGAGGTGCAAAGGACAGCAGTCTCAGAGGAAAATGCTTGGGCAGTCCCAGATAGTCAAATCATGGGTTTCCTGAACTACTCAATTACACCAGAAACATGCAGGAGAAATTCTGCTGGACTCCCATGCTTCTCCCATAGGAACCGTCAGGCGAGGTGTCTATTTTCAGCAGCACATGTAACATGTTTCAAAGGAAGAATTAAAACCCTCACTAAAGAATATGTCCTTGAGGATGTTTCTCCTTCACTTTAAACTGAGCCTTCATGCTGAGCTTTGCCTCTTCCCCTCTCTTAGCTGGTGCTCGCTTCCTGTGACAATCCTGACTCCTGGGTGAGTGGGCCAAACTTTTCTGTTCCTCACCTGTAATTTATATTTCTCCTGGAGTTGATATCCCAGCTCTGGATGGCTGCCCACATCCTCTTCACAACTTCTTCTCGGTGAGGCTCACATATACCCCAAGCCTCTGGACCATCAAACATGATATGGGAGAGCACACCACAGGCATTATAGGATACCTCAATCCCATCTGCTTTGCTCTCCAGCAGGTTGCTGCCAAGAGAGAAGAGATCGTTTAGAGGTGCTGACGCACCAAGGGTTTCAAAGTCCCCAGGTGATTCAGGAGCAGAGCTCCAGAGCGCTCATCCTGCCCCAGCCCAGCTGCTCGTTAGCCAGACACTCACCTGAACACACTGATGAACTGGGAGGTCATGAGCTGCGGGCGGAGCTCCTTCACCTCTGCTACATTGCCCAGGAGACCCAGCATATTGCGATGTAGCTCCTGTTTCTCTGGGAACTCCTAAGCAAGCAAAGAACAGGATTAGACAAAAGTAGGGCTGTGGTGATGCTAAGAACAAGCAGTGCTGGAGAAAGATTATGCAGCACGTCTAGAAAGGCTGAGTATTTTTGGTAGATCCCAAATGGGATCTCTAGTGTTAAAGATACATGTGAAATGAGAGAATCGAGGCCAGGGCCCGTTTACTGCTGCTCTTAAGGAGGACTGCATACAAGATGGGGAAAGAGGAAGACGTGTTGAGTAGAAGTTTCTCTGTTCTTCTACTGGTTTGGTGGATGGATGTGAGAGAGAAGAAAATATGCAAGCTTTTTCTTTTCTGTTTGTGTAACATAGGAAGTACTACTTATTGATTAGCCTAGCTAGGGATCCTGCCCAGGCACCTGCATCTCCACTGCTAATGTCAGCATTCCTCTAGCAGAAACCAGACATACTTACTTTCAAGCATTCCAAGAACAGCTTCATGCCGCTGTAGTTAAGGAACATCTCACAGTTATCAGGGGTCTCATCAGTGATGTTCCAAAGGGCGCTCCAGGAGAATTCCATCACCTGATCACACTGCAGAGCCCGAGAGAAAGGAATAGAAACAGAGCTTTGCTAATGTGGGAGCCCAGTGCAAGCCAACCACTTGTGTTTCCTCTCTGTTATCACCCTAAATGGCTCCAGAGGTAAGAAAACCTTGTTATTCACTTTCAACTTGTTAGCGAATGTTTTTTTTTGTTTAATATTTTTGCCTTCCTGTCACATTCCCATGCCCTCACCCTGGGACAGGAAATTCTACAGCATCAGCTGAGATATCTTGTATTTGCTAGAGAAGCTGAACTGGCACTGGACTGATCTCCATGCCTAAGTCAGACTGAAGAGAAAATACTCTCTATATATGTTTTTTGGGGGAAACACTCACCGTTTTATCAGCCAACTTCTTCTGAATCAACTTTAGCATTGTCTGTGGGCAGAGGAAGGGGAAGAGTGAGAAACAGTTCAAGAATCACAGAGCTAAAACTAACTGCTGTAGTACTGCAGGGCTGGCTACAGCAAATGTGCAGGTGTATGCAGCTCTGATCCTTTACAGAGAACCTACTTGGTATCTCTTTCTCTAAACCAGTGGGACTGGGTTATGTTCAGTGTTACAAGTATTCACAGAGCTGACCTATGTCACGGTCCCCGAGCTGTTGAGTTTGCAGTGAAGTCAGTTTTGATCTGTATGACAAAGTCTGAAATGCTGTATAACCGCAACAAAGCAGCGGCCTCTTCAGCTCTTTGAAAAGGTGAGGGATATGGGTTGACATGAATTGGGAAGCTGATGTGAACTTGGGGTGATGCAGAAGGAGCTAGTCACAAGGTCATACCAGTTCTGGAAATAATATGATGTGGTCAAGAGGTAAGGTATAAGGTTACACTGCTTCCCTGCTCTTGCAGACAGCCTATCTCTGAGATCATGACTTCCAGTGCTGGTAAGCAAGTAAAAGATGTCGTGTGAAGGGGTAGGCTCCAGGAAAGGTTAGCATTGCTAGGAAACTAGTTCTCTCCTGCGACACTGCAAGGCTGGATCACTGGATGCAAGGACTGCTGCAAGGGAATTGAGCTAGCCTGGGTTAAGGATGAGTAGACACCTTGGGACCATACCAACCATAACAAACCCCATCTTGCCCACAGCTTCTTTATGATCGTTGTCCACCTGGCAGACCAGAGCGTTACAGAGGTGCACAGCGATGCGCTGGATAGACTCGTCCTGCCGGCTCTGGTTGAGGATGTTCAGCAGCAGCTCATTGACTCGGCGGTACTGGAACTCCAACTCCTCGGGAATGCTGAAGTTACACAGGGTCAGGCAGCAGTTGCGCTGCACCTGGGACAAAAGGAAGAAAACGCTGGGTCAAGGGGCTACTAAAACATGGACCCCATCACCTCATGCTTCCTTGCTGCTTGGTACTGAAACCATCTTCTTGCTTGACTATGACCACTGAAGTTTCTGTTGCCCTCCTACCTAGCACTCTGATTTAGCTGTGCTCTGCTGGTACCCTCTTCTCTCTCCCTGTCACACTGGTCTCAGAGGGCCACACAGTCACCCGATGCCCATCACTTTCCAAGCCCGTTCCTCACCGCCTGTAAGCTCTCTACACAGCAGTTGCCATTCTGCAATCCAGCAGCAGAATGTCAGCTCCCTTCCAGTACAGTGTATTGGGATAATGTTTCTTTCTGTTGGCCCGACACCCCCAACATCCATACCCTTTTCATCCCTCAGTCAGTGCTGGATGTCTATGCTGTGTGTTGTATACACCCTTTGACCACTATAATCGGATAAAAAGGCGCCTTGCTAGCATCAATTTCTTCCCCTTGCTGTGGAGAACATCACGTGGATAAGGAGTACCCTGTGTGTAATCCCCATCAATGAGTGACAGCAAGGAGCAGATCTGGGCAATAGCTTCTCTGGTGTCTGCCTTGGCTCACACCCTGGAGGCTTAGAAGACCCAAATGCTAACACCAGGCTAAAGGCTTAACACGGGGAAAGAGGACTGGGGGAGCTGAAGGAGACTGGGCTGCTCTTACTGTGACCTCCTGGTAGGACTCCATGCCGTTCAGCACCACCTGGATGACCTGGCGCCGCAGCTTTACGCTCTGCTCCATGCGGTACTCGGAGTTGGTCAAGTAGAACAGCGCCGCGCTGCCGGTCACCTGGATGTTCTTGTCATCCTTGTGGCACTTGAGGGCTGTGATCACCAGCTGCAGAGAAGTAACATGAAGCTTCAGTGCCACTGACTTGCTGTTGAGTCTTGGAGTGACTGTTACAAGCCTGCAAGGAATGTGTGGCCCAGGCATTGCAGGGACGTGCTTATGAAATGAAGGTACCCAGTTTCACTGCACTACTGGAACTTTCTCCAGAATGGCCTGATATGGTGACCCAGGGTGAAGAAAAGACTGGGACTGCAAAATTTCCCTTGTCAGGGGGAGGTGAAGGCTAGCCTGGGGATTACCTGAAGGGCTCGCAGCAGCTGGCTGCAGCGTTCGATACGGGCAATGTCAAAAAGCAGGTTAATGGCCCGGGAAGTGATTTCTGGCCGGTGTTCAGTGTAAGCCTCAATAGCATTCAGGACTTGCTCTTCGTTCTTGTCTCCACTCACCTGGCACAGGGGAACAAAGAGTCAGGGAAGGAATGATGGAGGAAACCAACATGAAAAGGGAATGCTGAGGGTAGATTTGGAAGGTCAAAGGGTACAACTTCTCTCTGCCCTGCTAGTAGGATTAGGCCCAGGATAAGAGCAAAGAGGTTGAGTCACTTCTCAGCCCAGAAGAACAAGAAATGGCACCTTTGGGGCAGGAGAATGCCATTCACAAGTAAGACTCTGTTTCTTTCCTTAAATCCTTTCCTTGCAGCCACAGACATCCTGGTCCTTCAGCTAGGATGTTTTTTCCAGAACTTTCTCTAAGAGGTACGTTTTTAAACCCTTGTAAAAACCATGTGGGGTACAGGTCTTGCCTTCTGGTAGTTTCCTACAATATCAAGTAGCTATTGAAAGGCCAGACCTCAGTTGTCACACTCGAGACCCTAAAAACTCCACTCTACTAGCAGCCATGTTCTTTTAACTTTTTTTTAAATGTTCTTTTAACTTCTACCAAGTACTTACTGCCAATATTCTTGTGGCCTCATTACCTTGTAGGCTGGAATATGTGTCAGACGGCAGAGAGATGTTTCAAAAAGGCCCAAGAACTGAAGCGGTCGTTTCAGACCCCGGAAGGGAGCAATGCTGCTCTTTGCTGGCTCAATGCTGAGTAAAAAAGAGATCACTCATGTTGGTACCGTGTTTATTCAGGTGTCTCTAGCTACAGACACAGCTGTCAGTTCTCCATTCACTCTAGCTGCTTCATAACTAGAGTAATAACAGCTACACTGCAGTTGTACATCAGCCAGCTTCTCCAAAATGTAACACTAAACATTCATCCCAGGTGATCCTGAGTGAGGGGCTAAATGTGTTGAAGAGAAACAGCAGTAAGAATTCATGCAGATGGAATGTAGCTTTCCCAGGCAGAATTTGTCCTGGAAATTCAGTCACTGGGGTGAACATTTCCTCTTAGAAAAGGGCTGTGGATTTCCCTGATCCAAAGTATTTTCAAACTGGACTGCGTGTCATCTGATAGACATGCTAGCCTGCTTCTGTGATCATGCAAACCCACCAGTTTTGCTGCCATGTTCTTTACTGACCAAGAGCCAGGTTTTTTTCACCAGCTCTGGTGGAAAGGAGCCAGTATTGTCCCACTTGTATGTTTTTGTTCAATAAGTGCTTTTGGAACAAGAGGGCAGAGTTCTCGGCTGATCTGGAAAGCCAGACCTGTAGGTATGTCCCTACTGAGGTGCACCAGGATTTTCAAAGGTTGATCTGCCCAGTACCCAGGTCAAATCTGAAAATATGCCTTTAAATTCTAAGTTCCTAAAACACTCAGCCCTCCTATGAACATTGATGTATTGACTCGGCATAGAAATCTTCTGTCTCTGAAGAGCCTGGATTTTAGTGAAGGTATGAATGTTCTGTGTAGAAAATGTGTAAAGGGCTTTGGAGTCACTTCGGGAAAAAAATATAAATCACTGCAAGAGATCCCTGGAAGAATGTGTGCGGTAAAGAACTGAACTACTTCTTCAAATATGTATGGCAGGCAGACAGGATGAATTCTTTATTATTCTTAAAAGTCCTTACATGTGTCACATACAGGAATTGAAGCTGATTCCCATACCAGTCTTTACCATCAGGAGAAACTAGCAGCAGTTGTATCCTGCTTTTCAGTATTAATTAGATCTATAGAATTTGAGAACTTAGAAGAGGTAACTGTTCTTAATTCATCTTTGGCTGATCTATCCATCTAAGCAGACCTCAGTAATTGCTGTTTCCTTACCTTGTCTGGCCCATCTTCTCCTCCATGCTTGGGATAGTGCAGTTCTCCAGCATGGTGTGCCCTGAGATATCGAGCGAAGTGAGGTTTACCAAGTTTTCCACAAACAGGTTTAGAACCCGCCGGGTCAGCTTGAATTTGTAATAACTGGACAGATGGTCTCGGGAGATATCCAAATGCCTGCAAATGACAGAGAGCGTCTCAGAGCCTGGAAAGCATTAGCTGGGGCTTCTGCCTCTACCAGAGGAAGATGACAAGTCAAGTGTGATTATTATTTTATTATTATTTCCCTCACAAGATACGGGAATGTGGTTCTGTAGGATCTGACCCTGTGTGTAAGCGAAGCACGCAGGCATCTCGCAGAGGTCTGCTTAGAATGGAGCACAATGAATCATTTGGTCACACATCACAAAGGAAATTGCTTCAGGCTCAGGAATGGTCTTTCCCAAGCTCCATCACAGCAGCCACCTGAGCATTTCTCCCTGGTGATCAAGATGCACTAGAGGATCTTTGCATCCCCAGAAAATACGTAGCCTCATCCCACAAATTAAACTAGACAAGTTTTTGTCTGCTTCCTCAATCTTGTACTTTTTCTTCCCCAGGCTATTGTGTTGCTCTGATTTAATTCAGGTATTTAAATGCTTAAGCTGTGGGGAAACCCTGATGTTAAGGGAGTGGTGGGACAAACTGACCAACCATCGTGTGCAGGTGGGGTCCCTCACAGGACAGAGGCTGCTCCTGCCTGCCAAGCAGTAGCTAAGAACCCTTGAGAGAGACTTTTCTAAAGTGCCTAAGACAGGAGCCAACATCCCACTCACAAAAGTGTCTTCTACCTGTTGCAGACCAAGCTTCATTGCAAGTCACTATGAGTTAAAGGACTTGGATTCAGAAAATGTTATACAGGGTGTTCTCCAAGACTCCAGGTCATATGTTAACATGGTACCCCCTAGTGTCTGCAGTCAGTAGAGATGATACTAAAGCCACTGCAAAGCATCCTTCGTGTGAATAGTAAGGGGCCTTCTCTTTGGCTTGGAAAGTCCTGGATCCCTTTCCTGATACCACTGTGCAGTCTGAATAGCAATTGTCTCGGCTCAGTTGCAGGAAGTCATTTCACTGTCAGCACTGTTAGGGTGGGAGTGCCTATTTATTTACACTCTTTGTTCCCTTGGTTGCAGCACCCATGCACAGCATGCTTCCACAGAGCACAGCAAGTAGACAGCCTGAACTCTCAGTTTTTCCTAGTTTTACCTCAGAGCCAGGGTTAAACTTTGGACATTCCTGTCTGACAAGTGGTTTCGAGGACTGAGTTTCACAGTAGGATTATTGCTATGTTAGGTTACGTATGCATCTGTAGTAATTTTTTTTGCCATCTCTCAGCTGTTCCTTTTTGGTTGGCTGGGGGGGTTTGTTTTGGGTTTTGTTTTTTTCCTTTTTTTTGGTGTGTGGGGTTTTTTGGGGGGTGTGCATGTTGTTGTTTGTTTTTCGAAGAGGGAGTTTCTGCAACGTGTTGTCCCTTTGCAAGCAAAACTCAGGCTGGCTTTAGACGGGTCAGATATGTATAGTGAGTCAATGAGTGAGCCTGATGATGGGCAAGTTTGTAACTTGAAACCAGCAGAGGCTGGCTCTCTGTTAGCAGGCAAGCAGACCACTCCTTAAAAGACCTTTCCCTATCAGTGGGAAAAGGATAAACAAGGAAGAACAGATCTGCTGACCTGAGCTTGCGAAGCTGTGCGATCACTTGGATGTGCTCCTCTGAAAGGTCCATGTTGTAAAGCACTAAGGAAACCAGACTGTCCTTCCACTGGGTCAGAAATCCCACATCATTCAGCTGGATCCCAGAGAGATCAAGAGCTGCAAGGGAAGCCAAAGGCCGAAGCAACGTCTCCACATTTACCCCTTCGATCAAGCGGCCCAGGTTCAGGAAGCGCAAGCGGCTAAAGCCTTCAAAAGTAAAGTCCTTGACCAAGACCTGGCGAGTGGGGTTCACCAAACAGTCATCTTCACAGCCTCCAGGGTTTTCCTCCTCATAAAAGATATTACAGCAGCCAAAGAGGCTAAGGGAGATAAGTGTGTGGCTGAAGCTCACCAAGGTTTGCAGACTCTTGGCCGTCAACTTCTCACAGTTAGTCAGGTAGAGCTCAACAAGATCCTGGAAGATGGGAAATCAAAGTTAGAAATATTTCACAGGTAGAGTGCCCACCCTGTTTGCTAGTACACCTCCCACTGGGAGAGCCTGAGACCACATATTGCTGAATCCGACCAGTGTCCCCATCCCATTCCCTATAGTGGCTCTAGGAGCTGAGAAAGGAGAAGCTGAGATTCCCCTAAAGAAAATTTGGGCAGTGAAGGATGGAGTCTTGGGAATCTCTGGGTGCCTGGGATTCTAGCTGGTCCCCATGCAGCAACACTGCTATGCGAAGCGGCAGCTGGGGGCTGTCAGTGCAATACCACCTGCTTCCTGATGGCCTCCAGGTCCTGGTCCTGCACAATCTGTTCCCGCAAGTGGATCCGAGCTAGCCTGGTGCTCCGGGGATCTGAGAACAGGGTGAAGAAGCTTTCATGGGGTTCAAAGATGCTGTCTGTCTTCACCAACTCCACGTACCTGTATTGGGGCAATGGTGTTAGCACAACACGACACAAAGGCTCGGTTACAGCTCTAGCACCTTCGCTGGTTACGAGAAAACGTGACCGAGTGTGTAAGCACACGCAGACTCCCCCTTGATCATCCAGAATAGCCTTTGGGGTAATGGGAGCTTGCCCATTACCTCTCCTTGTAAAGAATTAATGATCCCTAGGGAAATCTCAGGGAAAGATTTGCACAACGTCATACGTGTGTGTGAGCTAACTAGATTCTGGCAAACACAGACACCAGGATTTTTTTTTTTTTTTTTGCTAGATGTTTAAAGCTAGTGGTTTGATTTTTTTCATTTTTCAGAAAATTAGCTGGCCAAAGTTCTCTGCCAGACTTTGTGGGCAGGAGTTCAGCCAAGAGAGACTGTGATAGCCAAATTATAGAAATCCCTGGAAAAAAAAAGTTGCTTTGTAAACCTTTGGGAGCAGCAGCCTTAAAATTTAACATCTGTTAGTACTCTGCACTCCTGTTTCTCTGGTTTGAGAGTGAGTTGTAATGCTTCAGTGATGGGCAATCGGAAGGCTCCTTTGTTGCTTACTGATGTTCTTGGAAGAAGCAGTGATTGTTTTGCTCTGGGTTTACCTATGCGGAAATGGTGATTTCTACAGAAACTAGGATGATATATAGCAGTACAATAACCACTGGGGACGCTTCCTTCTGAAGTTAATGCAAATCCTTATTTCCAATATGAGGATCAATTGGAAAAAACCCAGCCCTATGAATTCTCCATTTTTTTTTTCCCCCCCTTTCCCACCACTCTTTTTAGAGAACTATACTTCCCCTTCCCCGAGCTCCCATTGCCTTCCCAAACCAGACAACAGCTTCTCCACAGGCCTGAAACATACTCATTGACAAGTTTGTCACAAATCTCGCTTGGCAAGAAGATGTCGGGATGGAGCCGGAGAGTTTCATTGTCCAGTAGGTAGCAGAGAGTCCCCTCCAAGTTGCGAAGGCAGTAATCTGTGCACAAGGTCATTAGTGACTCAGGGCTATCGGATGCCATCTTGAGGGAAGTTATGGGAAGAGGAAAAGAAGGAAGCTTTTGATTCAGTAGATCCTTTCCTCAGATGAAGTTCCAGGATGAATTTACAGGGACATCAGGACAGCTATAAGCAGAGGAGAAAAAAAACAGATGCACTGAGACAGGCACGTTGGCAAGTGTCCCACAAAGCTTTTGTACCAGCAGGATGTTGATAGCTGTATTCACAGACCATCACTCACTCACCTTAAAAGAACCTGCAGCATTTTGGCCTCTCTGGCAGTATGACCTTAATTTCTTGGTGTCCCCACCCCCAGGGGACACGACTAGAATGAGTTAACATGAAACATTTTTGGAAACGGGGCTACACAGCAAGAAAATGTTTCCTCATTGCAGGGGTTATCTGGCTGACAAAGGCCCTCTGAAAGGGAAGTGGCAGAAACCACACTGCTTGGCTTCCTTCAGAATGGGTTGGATAAACCACCAGAAAATTTACTGTCAGGACAGTCCTTTGTATGGCCCCAGTGGGATCTGGTGGCCCCATATCTTGTTCCTGTAATTCTATTTGCCATCGTTCCGAGTGAAGTTTCATGTTCAGGCTGAATGTGTCTCTGTAGTGCCAAGCCAGAAGCTTCATGCAAGTCCTTGAACTAGACCGTGAAGTGGATCAGGAGCCAGAGGGAAACATAAAGACTGGTTTGGCTTCGAGTGCAGTGTAAAGCAAGGTTTATGTGTGTGCTGGACATCTATACATCCAACTGCTTGGGAGGTGCTCACCCAAACCATTCCAAATCCATCACAAGAAAGTGTAAGTGACTAAACTGGAAAAAGACAGGACATTTTTTTATTATTTGAAAAATCTCACAGCTCTAGTATTAGGACTTGCTCACTGGCACTGAAGGAAGGCTTGGTGGAGCTTTGGAGGTGTTTAGCAGAAGTGACTGAAGACCAACAACGCCATATCACTTTCAAAGGGTCAAATCACATTAGAAGCAATCCTAATGTGAACTCTTCTATGTATTTCCATGAACACACAAAAATTGTGTTGAAATGTTTATTTTTTAGGTAAAACCTGTGTCTTATTGATAAGTACGTCCCTGCTGGCAGCGAGAACATCAATGCTATGAAGTCAGTTGATATTCTCTGTGCACAACTGAGCAGCCATTGCTGGGGAAGTTGTTGCAAAACATCCTTAACTATATTCCGTTTCTGATCTTCATTCTGCAGCTGCAAAGATCGGGACACTTGTGTCTCCAGCTCTCTGCTTCTCTAAAGTCTGTGGTGCCCTCTCTTTCCTTCATTCCTTCAGTATCAGGACAAGACAGAAGAACTGAACTCCCTCTCCTCACCTTAATCACTATCCCCAAAGACACCTGGGGTGGATCAGGCACCTTCCCTCCTCCCCCTTCAGATGCTCTGTTCAGCCACTGCCTGGATGATGACACCCGTATGAAGGATCAGTTAAGGCTGTGGACAAACTAAACTTTCAAATTCAGGCACCAAATGGTCTCTATGGGTGACGGGAGCCCCGGCTCCCAGCCTTCTGATCCCACCCTGTGCTGCAGAATGGATTCCCATGCAAACACGAAGGCAGCACAAGTTGGAAATCAAAGTTCTTTTCTTCCTTCCTTCTGTGTTTTATGAATTCTTTTTCTGAGGGCGTGCTTCAGTGCCAGGGACAAAAAGTTGGCCAAGAAATTAACCCAACACTGAAAGGAACCTCTCAAAAAGCAAGTGGAGATCAGCAGAACTGCTCCTCACTCATCAGCGGAGGAGTGGACGTGCTGGATCACTGCTGGGGTACGCTCACCTCAGGCCTCATCTCCCTGGGCCAAACCTCATTCTAGTGTAAGGGGACAAAACCTTACCAGCAGAAGCAGGAACTGGTGCTCCACTTGACTTGTCTTTTGGCTTTACTTGAATCTGATCAATAGTTTCTCCTCCCTATAAGCACCATTGGGAACTACATCTGCAGGCAACTGGCGGGATCATGTTTCAATTCCAAACTCCTCCTGACCCACTGTGTTCTGACCTACAACTTTCAACAGCCTTTCCAGTGGGGATCTCTGCTGGCTTTGGCTCAAGAGACAAAAAGTCTCCAAGCCAAAGCAGATGCTGAGGAAAAAAACATACCCAAAACCTCAGCAGTCACAAAAACTGTACTCAACATTCTGGTCAGAGATAGTTTAAAGGGTGTAACCTGCTTTTCTGGGTTACTGAGTCCTGAGCTGGAGTCACAATAACACAAAACTGTGACTTCTCCGGGGTGCCATGATAGCTCAGAGACCTCTGAGATGCATGTGGTACAAACAACAAAAATGAATAAAATGGGGGGGAACTTCAATTTGGAAAGAGAAGGAAATCCATAATCCACAGCCCTCTCCTTTGTAGCTAAATCAGGAGAGAAGTCAACATGAAATGGGCCACTGAGTGCAGAGTATCGCCTCGCTGGCCGTGAGGTCCTGGCTGAGGGAATGCAGGTGGGATGCAGCTGCCCTGTGCTCTGTACTGGGCCTGCTTTGGAGACTAATCCACTTCACCTCCAGAATGAGTCCCTCTCGCAGTTTTTGCCTGAAGCTTGCTTGAGAGAATCTTTCCAGAAAGGCAAGATCAACAAGATCTGAACCAGTTGGGAAACGTGTTCTGCTATCCCTACCAGTTCCCCTGTGCCACCAGACAGGAGGTCCCTGCAGCCAGTGTTCTTCCACTGTTTACTACCAAGGGCCAGAGAACTTGAAAACAAATTCCCATTGACAATCTATTATCACGTGCAGCTGGAAACAGCCAGTGCTTGGGACTTGTCCAAGCAGCTTAGAGCACTAAAGAGCAAGGACTGCCTTCCTGTGGCTCTGACAATCCTCTATTCCCCCTCTGCTGAGAGCAGCACAATGCAGCTGGTTGATCCTAGCCCTGGAGATATCAGCTGCCCTTTAACTTCTGAGCTCCCCGTGATTCACCAACAAAATCCCATGCAGAAGGTTAATACAGAGAAAAGTGGTTAAACTGTCCCAGTAAAATAACACCAAAGAAAAGCATTCATCCTCATGATTTGTTATGGATACTTGAGTAGCGCCCAGAGCTGCTGCTGTACAGGACACGATAGAAGCTAGCCTCTCCCTCCTCAGTCAGACTGAAGACATGACACGTGGGCAGGGAGAGATGGAAGTAAGAATGTCAATAGCTGCACTGATCAATATTTTCTCTCGTTATAAGCTCAGCATGTTGATAAAAATAAATGAACTAGAAATGCTGACAAATCATTAGCATTTACCTAATCATTATCCTCAGGCAGTTTTCCACAGGCAATAGATCAGCAAGTTGCCTGCCCAGCAGACTGCCACCAGTGCTCTCTGATGATGGGCAATGAGCTGCCTAGTGCACGTGTGTTTTTGAAGGGTCAAAGACAGATCTGTGAAACATGCCAAAAATTTAAGCGCAGGAACCAAAAAGTACTAGAACTACAGCTGCCCATTTTTTTTCCAATTTATTTCTCTAATAGATTTGTTTCCATCTTAATGTATGAAGGAATCGAGTCCCTTGGAGACACAAGAGCAGGCACGTAAAAGCCTGTATGCCCAACTACCTCCAGCAGCCACCCTCTCCCTGGAGTAACAGCATCCTCCCACCATCCATGGACTCAAAGGAAGCTGCAGCACATGCAGCTTTGCTCTCTCCCATCACCAGCCCTCCCGGTCCTGCCAGCTTCTTTGGCAAATATTGCTTATTTGCAGGCTACAGCTGGATTGTTCTGGCATCTCAGGCTGCACTGGCACATGAGGCTGGGGACCGCTCTTGGCACTCCTGGGGCCGCCTGTGCCAATATTCTCTACCTTGGACTTCACACCCATCTTCTCCCCCAGTCTCTCCAGGCGGCTGCCCAAAGCCAAGCCTGACTCAGCGTGGCTCCACGCCAACGATGTAACATTTACACTGTTGCTACAAAAATGATTGGCAAAGCTTTTCCAGCATCAGGGACTTGTCCAAGGGGATGGCAAACAATACGCACTGATTATGATGGCTTCAGGATAACAAATGTAATGTAAATGCAGAGTTTGGCACAGGTTACACTTCGGAGAAGAATTGCACTGTCATTTTAGCTGGCATCTTGCAGCTGCAGATCACTATGTTTTTATTAACTGATGGGTCATCGCAGCTTGTATGGGGAAATACCACCCTTGCCTTACAGCAGGGAAACTGAAGGAGGAGGGGATCGAACTATTCTGTGGCCCAGCAAAACCTGCAATTTCTAAACTTGTTGGCCTGCCGAGACCAACATCGCAAATGAAAGGACTCGTGCTAGCCAGGAAACGTGTTGATCTTTGTACCTGCCTGCAGGAAGAATTCTCCTTCGGAGAATTATGCCACGAATTTTCTTTCCAAAAGGTCACCGGCCCGCGAGGACACCCCTGGCAGCGCGGGGACTCCCATTCCCTGGGCACCGGGGATCCGCCACCGCCAGCCCACGACGGGCTCCGACAGCCCCGTGAGCCGTTTCCCCAGCCCGCAGGGAGGCCGGGCCACAAACCCAAACCCTCCCTCGCTTCCCGGACGCGGCCCCCGCTCCGTGGGGCGACTTTCCGTTCCCGAGGCAGGCAGAGGTCACCTCGCCCGGCAGCGCCGGGTCTCCTCCCGGACGCGCGGCCCTGCCTGGCGGGGCCCGGTCGCTCCCGGTGGTGCCGGGGAGGGGGGTGGGGGCTTCGCCGGGGGCGGCGGTTCCGTTCAGGGCGGCGCTGCCTCCCCACCGCCTCCAACCGCCAGGCCCCCGGTGCCCCGGGGCAGGATTGAGGAGGGGGGACGCCGGTCACTCACCTGGCGCCAGGCCCCCGTCCGGTGCGGCGGAATGGGGGAGGGAGGGGAAGGAGCGGGGAGGCGGCAGCGAGTCCCGGCTCGTCCCGGCGCCGCTCCCCGGGGCGGGCAGGGGGTCCGCGTCCTGCTCGGGCCCGCTCCCCCCGCCGCGGCCTCCGCTGTCAACAAACCCGGCCGTCACTTCCGCCAGCCGGGCCGCCCGCACCGGAAGCGCCGACGCTTTTCCCCCCCCCCCCCAACACACACACCGGCGGAAACACCGGCCAGGCCGGAACGCTGGGGCCGTGCCCGCCGCTCCGCGCTCCCGGATAGCATTGGCTTCGGCCCCCCTCCCTCCCCCCCCCCCGTGAGGTCACACGGCGGCGTGGCGTCACGCTCGCTGCGGTGACGTCGCCGTGCTTGCTGCGTGATGTCACGGCGCGGGGAGGTTTGGTTTGCGCGGCAGGGCTTCTTCCCGCGCGCCGCCCGGTCGCCGCGCCTCCCTCTCAGGCTCCGGCAGCGCGAACCCCGCGCCGCTCCCCGGCTGCCATGTGAACGGGCCGTAAAGCACCGCACCTTGCGTGGGAGAGCGTGACCGCCTCCTGCGAGCGGCAGCGGGGCCAGCCCACGCCGAGCGACGCGACGGGGGGAAGCCCCGAAGCGCCGCTGGGCGCTCGGTGCGTGGGGGGAAGGAGGGAGACGGGGCACAACCGCTGCCGGGGGGGGGGGGGGGGGGGGGGGGGGGGGCGGACCGGCGAGCCGGGGCCGAGCCGGGCTGACGCTACCGGGGAGGGGGGGCGGGGCTTACCGCCACTCCCCCACCGGAGGGGCGGAGCGTAGCACTGCGGTGGGCGGTGTCGTGGGCGTGGTTTGTCCCTGAAATCCCCGCCCACCCCCCCCGCGGGCAGGGTTTCCAGCCGGAGCGTTTATGCGGCGCGCGGGGAAGGGGCGCGGGGGCCGCCATGTCGCGGTTGCACCAGAGCAGGTTGGTGTCGTGGCCCTTTTACTGCTCGGGGCTGGGGGGGAGGGCTCCGTGGGGTCGGGGAGGAGGGGGGGGGGGGGGGGATTGCCGGTCACAAACCGTTGTAACGGCCGCGGCTCCGCTTCCTTCAGGATCGCGGACTTCCAGGAGGTGCTCGGCGAACCCACCGTGGCTCTGGCCAAGCTCCGCGACCTCTGCTTCAGCGGTGAGTGGTGCGGGACCGGCCCCGGCCTGGGGCGGAGGGTGCTGGGCACGGCCCCAGCCCCGCGGGGGGTCCTGGCGGCGCTGGCCCGGGGTCGGTGCCGGCACCGCCGGAGCTCGGGACGCCTGACGGGGCGGGCACGGGCTGCCAGGCCCCAGGGTGCCCGACGGCTTCGCTCCACCTCAGCTGCTACCAAGGAATCCGCTCCCGGAGCTGTCGTGAAGTGGCGGGTGTTGGAAACCCGAGGCTGGCGGGTGTGTTTTCAAGCCCAAGCTCTGTCAGGCCGCAGCCGTCCCCACCTGGCCTTTGAGCACAGCCACAAACTTCCAAGCAAACCCTTCCAACCTCGTTCTCTCAGATGCTTGTGGGTTTTGTTGCTTCTACTGTGCCCTGGCCATCACCTGCATGGTCCCCAGCTTTCTGCTTCCAACGCCTGCCGCAGGCACCCTGCCCCGTGGGAGGCACCCGCAGGTTTGGCACAGTGTATAAACCCCTATAGCATCCCTGTGAAAACTTCTTGCCCCCTGGGGAGGAAAAATGCTGCCTTGCCTGTTCATGTGGTGACGTTAGCAAGCTACGGTGAGGATACTGGGGCTAACGTAGTTATTTCTCTGCCTGATGTTCCACAGGAATTCCCTTTGATGGTGGGCTGCGCTGCCTGTGCTGGAAGGTGGGTTTTGCTTGGGGTGCTTTTGTTTCTTGGAAGTGATGCTTTGGGTTGCTTAAGTACACTCTGGTTTTGGGCACTTAAAATTGTAAACAACAAAAATCCAGAGCTTAAAAGCCACTCCAAATTGACAGTAATTTGTGGAGATCAGCACTGGCACAATCACAATAGCATCAGGACAGCCATCACTGCAAATGATAGAAAGTGACTGTCTGCTCTTTGCACAAAAACAGCCCTTGCTATTAAGCTGGAAGTGCATTTCAGCCAGGTTAGCTATTGATCAGTCCTACAAATAGGTCTGTGTTGAAAACCAGTCCCTGAAATACTCCTGACTGTCACTTGGCAAAGAACTAGGCTTTCTGGAGAAAGCTCCCAGTGTATTCAAAGAGGCAGTTTTAGCCACTGTGTTTGGTTTGCTTGTCTTAACAGGTGTAGCAGCTTATTTTCCAAATATTAATTTGTGTACATCTGTCTTTTGTACAGATACTTCTGAACTACCTCCCTTTAGAAAAAGCTTTATGGAGCTCTTTGCTGAAGAAACAGAGGTGAGGACATTGGTACTTATCCCATTATTTCTCATGATATCAGTGGAGAACAGTTCCTTAAATAATTAAGTACCTTCATAAAATGATTTGTTCTTGTGTAGAATGCAGTTCTGTAGACTGTCTGGTGGATTGACCTCTTCAGCTAAACTCAAGAGAAAACCAAATGCCTTCTGGCTGAGCTGGGTGGTACAGAGGGATCTATCTGAACTCAGTCTGGGTGTTTATGTTGACTTAATCTTCTGCTTCAGTGCAAATTCCTCTCTTCTTCCTTAAGGGATCTGTATTCCCAGTTCCTAAAGGAAATGATTATCCAGCCTGGGATCGCCAAAGCCAACCTGGGTGTTTCAAGGGAAGATGTGACCTTAGAAGATCACGTAAGTGTTGTTAAGCCTTTGTGTTGCAGAAAATTCCCCAGAGCTGTAAACTGTTGTTCTGGAGTCTGGTCCCCTGGGCAGCTCTTGGCTCTGTTCTCAACTGTGTTGCCTTGATAGCAGGAGGGAAGGTTCCTAGCAGCCTTCAGTGTGAATTATTGGCAAATCACCAGTAGCTCTGAAGAGAGCTCTTTTCAGCTCTGTGTATCCCTTTTCCCTTCCTTTGGGGATAGCTGCCCAGGCTGTGGGTCTCCAAGGGAAAGGGAGAGGCTCACAAGAGGTACCTCTAGCAAAGAGACATTGTCCTGGGAAGTCAGGTCCATGGGTGGACTCAGAGCAGGCTAATCTGAAGAGAGGATATAAGAGGCAGGAGAGTCAAGTTGAACTATGGCATGGAAGGCAGGAGACTCACTTATTTCTAGTTCTACTGCCGGGTTGTTTGGGTTTTTTTTAATTAACTATTTCCTGCATCCCTTGGCTTTTTCCTTCTCAGAAGGTGCTGTTAAAGGCTGTATGTGTCAGGGGAGGGAATGAAGTAACTCATCAGAAGAAACTATAAAATGATACAGCTGCTTCCATAACTGGTCTTTAATGTTAACTTCTCTGCTAGTGTGCAGTCATCTGTGCTTCTGAGCTGTTGTGATCTCTGGAGGCCTTGGTGCTGTAAAACTAGCATGTTTGTAAAACTCCACACGTTGGCAGGTTACAGTGATCTTTGAATCTCTTGGAATGTTGCTTTTTTTTTTTTTTTTTTTTTCCCCCTTAGTTAGTTGTTAACTTTGCAAGGATCTTGACATGGAGAGGAGAAAGTGTGTATGTGGAAAGGGAGGTAAATTTCTCAGAGACACATCACTATGAACAACCTATCCTGTATTTCTTCTTTCGTGGATATGATGGTGGTGCTTAATCAGCCTTCTCAGAGTTGAGACAGAGCAGGATACTTGTAACTAATAACCACAACCCTTAAGTGCTGTGTGGGTGGGAAACTCTTATCCTAAGTACAAAGACTGTCTCCGTTGTACAGGTTGGAGCTGCAATCAGGAATCTTGTTGATGCAGGACAGGGTACCTGATTTGGGAACACAGTCATTAAGAGGCAGGTGAAAAGGTATTGGAAATATTGGCTTCTGCCTCTCTAAGTGAACCTGCGTGCTCACTTGCTTCACAAGCTCTGATCCACTTCCTGCACACTGTGTGAAGAAACAGCACTAAAGGTAGCTAGTGAGAGAAAAAATTAAACCCAATGAGCTAGGAGTGTGCTGGTTCTAGATGACAGAGGGACAGCAGAAATGTTTAAATTAGTGTATATTTACTGAGGATTTTGATACACGTGAAACATGCTTATTTTGTTTGTTGCTCATTTCTTTAGCCCCTCAACCCAAATCCAGACAGTCGATGGAATACTTACTTCAAGGATAACGAAGTGCTTCTCCAGATAGACAAAGATGTCAGGTGTGTGAGGCATAATGACTCAGGTTTCTGAACCCAAGTGGTTTGGTTAACACATTGTACTTTGAAAATGAAGTTTAATATTAAACCAAGCCTCCCATTCAACATGGGGCATGTACTTCCTTCTTCTCATGCCTGATTTCCTCTTGTGTCCATCCTAGGAGGCTGTATCCTGACATGGCATTCTTCCAGCGTCCGACAGACTACCCCTGCCTTTTAATCCTGGACCCCCAAAATGAGTTTGAGACACTGCGCAAGCGGGTGGAACAGACCACACTCAAGTCACAGACAGTGGCGCGAAACCGCAGCGGGGTTACAAATGTGAGATCTAGGTGGGGGCTGTCCATGGGGCATGGCATCTTGGCTGATAAGGGGAAGGGTGTTTCTTGGGCTTTTTTCTGTTTCTCTCTCTGCTTGTGTGGTGTAATTAAATACCTCAGCAGGTACTGTGTGTGTTCTGATGGGAAGACAGCTCTGTAGAATCAGTTGACATGCCTGACAATAGGGAATTACAGATGTATTTAAAGATTATTTTTTCTTGACTTCTGGTGGCAGTTGGAGTTGCAGGAAGACGTGAATATTTTATGCTTGCCATCTGCCTTTTTATATGGGAACAAAACACTGAAGGGTTAATTTATTGAAGTTGAATTAACGTAGTCTTCCAGAACTGGATCTCATAAACCTGCAGTTGGGAAAAGAGCTGGGTATCTGCTGAAATGTGTGTTGTCTCTTTCCTCTTTCATGAGTGTTACAGTACAAGTGCCACATGCTAGTGAGGAAGCACAACAGATCTATACTTCTCCTCATACTCCTAACAAAGAAGTAAAACTGCTGTGGTTTCTTGCTGCATGGGATCAGGTGGTGCAGTAATTCAGGGGAACTGTCTGTTGGTGCACAGACCACTTTGTTCTTCAGGGATAGCCAGTGCTAGGACTTCACTGCCTTTGTGCTTCCTGAGTTACTTGTCTTGGTTTATGTGAATACCTGCTTGCTTGGTATGAGTTGCCCAAATCTTTTGGGG